CCTCCCTGACAAAAGGCCTACCTTGTTGCCAGCAGGCTATTGAAACAAAGGAACTCCCACCCGCCCAGTTGCACTCATCACCCCGTCTCAGTGCCCAAACAGGCTGAGCTAGGGGATCTTATGGCCCCGAGGAAGGGAGGAAGAAGGGAGGGTGTTCCTGGGTGCAAGCTGGGATGGGTTTGGAAGAAAGAGGCCTTATCAGAGGGGAGCAGCCCCTGCAGAAGGACCAGGGAATTAAGGAGGTCGGGGAATGTCTGTGCTCCCTTTCCGGGCTCCTGCCACGGGTCAGGAACACACTCACCCCTCTGATGGATCTTCCAGAACAGCCATCTGATCATTTTTCTACTCCCTCCCCAGTCTGGAGATTATAGGCCTGTACCATCATACCAAGTATTTACTTTTATGAGGTTCTGTGGATGGAACTCAAGGCTTTCTAGGTGCCAGGCAATCGCTCCACCACCTGAGCTCCATCCCCAGCAATTCCATGCCTCAATTCTTTTTTTTAATGATACTCCATTCTGACAGGCCTCAGTTCTTATCAATCAAATTAAAATGAGGCTGTCTTGGTGTAGAGATGAGGAAGTAGCTGAGGTGGGAGGCCCCTGTTCACACTCCTGCTTTTGTCATAGTTCTGTGGAGATTGTTGGGCTGAATAGCTGTGCTATCATCAGTGCACAGCATCAGAACGTCCTTATCCAGCCATGCTGCTGTGAACATTTCTGGTTTCATGAGGGAGGATGAGGACCAGCAAGCCTGGCAGTAGCGTCCTATTGCTAATATCAGGTGCTACCAGATTCTGGTAAACAAGGTGTTTTGTGATACTGCAGTGCTGAATCTAGGGGACAACAAAAACATTAAATGCTACACAAACACACACACCGACACCTCACACCTCCTAGGAACTGAAGTATGCCCTCCGAGGTACCAGTGTTATTGCTGCCTCCAAGGCCACAGTCTTTTTTTTTTTTTTGGCCACATAGTCTTTTTGTCCAAAGTCAGCAACTACTGTCTTCCTTTACCCAACATATCATACCTCCATTCAGCTGTTTAAAGGCTCATGGAAACTGGGCACAACTTTCAACAACACATAACGTCTGACTTTTAGAAAAAACCTTGTTTTATAGTCCAAGCTGGTCTTGAACCTGGTCTTCTTGCCTCCACCTCCCAAATGCTTGGATTATAACTTATTACGATGACCAAGTAGGCTACTGTAGGAATACTTTAAAGGTTCATGGGTTTCACCAGCTAGGTATTACCTTGTGATCAGCAGGCATCTAGGCCCAAGAACGGAACCAAGTAGTACAGAAAGAAAACATCTTCCAGTGTTGTCTAACTGCCCCCCTAAGATAAAGTCAGTCAAGTTTCCTCGGTACCAGGACCAGTGGGGAAAAGAATAGATGTGGAGCATTGATGATTTAGTGCTAGAATTCTCATCTCCCACTCAGGAGACCTGGTTCAAGTCCTGGCTAATGTAGTCTGTTTCTTTGGAGCCAAAGAGATGGCTCCATGCCTAAAAGTACTTGCTACTCTTTCAGAGGATCTGGGTTCAGTTCCCAGCATCCACATGGTGGTTCACAACTATAACTACAGTTTCAAGGAATCCAAACACCCTGTTCTGGCTTCCACATGTACCAGGCATACACATGATGAACATTCACACATGCAAGGAAGCACTCATACACATAAAATAAAAATAAATCTTTTCAGGGTGGGTGGAGACAGGGTTTCTCTGTATAGTTCTGGCTGTCCTGGAACTCACTCTATAGAGCAGCCTGGCCTCAAACTTAGAGACCCTCCTGCCTCTGCCTCCAGAGTGCTGGGATTAAAAGCATGTGCCACCACTGCCTAGCTAGTAAATCTAATAAAGAAGGAGGAGGAAGAAACATAACTGGTGATCATCAAAGAGGGCTCACACCCTTTCTATCCAGACTTTCCATATGTGGGAATTTTAGTGATAGTTGGTCATAAAAGCAGTTGTCACATGTGTGTTCCAGGAAATTTCTAGTATACCCAGGCTGGCCTGGAGCTCACTGTGTGTTCTGACTAATTTTATGGCAACTTATCACAAACTAGAATCTCAATTGAGAAAATGCTTCCTCCACAGTGGCCTGTGGCCAAACCTGTGATGTCTTTTCTTTTCTTTTCCTTTCTTTTCTTTTCTCTTCTTTCCTTTTCTAAACAGGGTTTCTCTGTGTAGCTATCCTGGAACTCAGAGATCCCCTTGCCTCTGCCTCCCAAGTGCTGGGATTAAAGCCGTGCACCACCACTGCCCTGTGTATTTTCTTAATTAGTAATTGATGTGAGACGGCCCAGCCCCTTGTGAGTGGTGCTACCATCAGGCAGGCAGCCCTGCCCCTGGGTAGGTGGCACTGGGGTGTCTAAAAACCAAACTGAGAAAGCCAGGAAAGGTAAGGCAGCATTTCTCCATGCATCAGTTCCTTCCTGAAGGTTCCTGCCCTGTTTGAATGCCTGCTCTGATGTCCCTCAGTAATAGACTTACTTGGAAAACCCTTTCTTCTCCAAGTTGCTTTTGGTTATGGTGTTTCATCACAACAATAGTAACTCTAAGTATTACACTCTGTATACCAAGCTGGCCTTGAACTCATGATGGTCCCTCTGCCTCAGCTTCCAGGGATTACCCGTGAGAGCCATTATACAGAGCCTTCTGATAGTTCTTGACTTTGTCTTTCCCGTATTAAATACTAAATGTGAAGTTAAAAACAACAAAACTGCTATGAGAACTGAGGAGATATCTTTGTCAGTCAAGTATTTGCTTCTCAGGCATAAGGACCTGAGTTCGAGCCCCTGAACTGATGAGAGGAAAGGCATGCTTGTGCACACTTGTAATCTCTGCATTGGGGAAGTACAGATAGTGGATCCTTTGGGCTAGATGACCAATCAGCCTAGCCTATTTGGTGACTCCAAGCCAGTTAGAGAACATTTCCAAAAAAGAAAAAAAGGATGGATGGTGGATAGGCACTGAGGTCCTCTGGCCACACATACTCATATATATATATATACATGCGGGGGGGGGGGGGGGGG